ATATCTATTTGTCTCAACAGAGTCTATTCTTGTTTTTCTAAGAGCTTTTCAAATTTTATTTTAGAGTATTGATCATTTGTGATTCAATATTCAGGTGTGTTATGGTAGGTCATCTCGGGCTTGTAAAAGGCTGTGCCCAGCAACTCCATTGCTGTTATTCCAGCATTTGATGGTGCTTGTTTAATTGAAGACACACCATTGGTCCGAATCCCAATGCTTCAAATACCTTTGGTCCGAACCCCAATGGTCCAAATCCCATTCATCCTAATCCCAATTGTCCGAATCCCAATCATCCAAATCCCAATCATTCAAATCCCAAATCGTCCGAATCCAATTCATTTGAAACTTATGATCCTAAAATTAACAATTGTTGATATGAAATTTTCCAAGGGACCACAGGGAAATATCATGGTACAAAGACTTGCATACTGTTTTAGTTCAACATATCTAAAACCTGCATTCAATTCCGTCGACCAAATCTACACGAAAAGCGTTTCTCTATGTTCAGATATGTCAAGGGTTACAGCAAACACGAAAATGAGAGTTTTTATGTTGGATAATAACGCATCTAATTTTAATTTTCATTTTAATTATTGAACATTCTTAAACAATCAGTTTTACGAGCAAATCTGTTACTTTCTGTTGAACCTAAATCAGAAATAGAGCTTAAGCTGACTTAACATGGCAGTAAAATGTAAAACACAAACATAATTTTACCAATAAACAAGGCCCAACGGGGAATCCATTTGATTCAATAATCAGTCACACATTAACATGATATTCTATTCCATATTCACACATTTCTTGCATCTTTATTTTGACATTAAATTACGAGGCAGGATTCGGACGGATGGGATTTGGATGATTGGGATTCAGACCAATGGGATTCGGACCAATGGGATTCGAACCAATGGGATTTGGACAATTGGGTTGGGAATTGACCAATGGGGCAACCTGTTTAATAATTGAATCTGAGAGCTTCTCTTACCCCTTTGGTAACTCAGAAATTCAATTTCCTGTGGGCCATTTTAATATTTGACAAGGCAGCTAGCTTTTTGGTGATGCTCAAGGCAAATGACCTTGGTGTAGAATGTAAAGCAATCCTTTGTTTTGTTGCACTGGATTTTTAAGATTATGTACATTGATTCTTGATTTGGCCTTTTCCTAAAATTAAACAACAAACTTCTCTTCTTCATCCATCTTGTAGACTTTTTTATCTAACCAACTAGCAGTGTATGCTAAAAACTAACTATTTATCTGAATAGCAAGTTGCAAAGAGTATGCTGTTGACCACACATGGACATTCATCTCAAATTTAATGAATTGTATGAATGTATAAATCTCAAACATCAACACACACATAAACATTGGAATACATGCTACAGACAGCTCTATAACCATCTAGTGAGATTAATTGCATGAAACCACTTGGATAGATAAGCAATGTCCCTCTGGGTAGGGTGTCAAAACTTTTAGTCACATCCATGTCATTCACGGTGTAAACATTAATTACCTTTATAACATAAATACAAGCTATATTAAAAAGCCATTTCACTTTGCTATTGTGTTTACACATACATGTTCATTGCATCAATAAAATAGAATATTGAGAAATATTTGAACTAATACTAAAAAGCACTTTTTGCCATATATTTCTATTAAATTAATGGCAGGAGTAAACGAGAAGAAATAACTACATGAAATTCAAAGATGAAAATAGGTTATTTTTGTCAATTTGTATTGATTTCATCAAAATAATATGACCATTTATTACCAAAATCCTTTTTATAACAGTAATTTAGGATTATCTAACTTAATATTCTATGTTATGGATGTGACATGCTGTCAAATCTCATAAATTCTGGAATAATTATTAAATTACTTGATTACCTCTCACCAATTTGCATTTAGTGGATAAAGTCCACCAGGCTCATGATGCGAAAACATGGAAATCAAAGACATGTTGAAGGGTAAAAAAATGTAGCCACGTATGGATGTGACAACATTTTTGACACATCTTACTCAATGGAAAAGGGAGCTTTGATCAATGACTTGACAATATCAAAACATGATAAGTGTTATTATTTCCACTTCTAAGACATTCTTCTATAATTTTAGATATATAATTTCATTGAATACAAATTCCTTTCATGATATCCAAAGGTATCATTATGGATGTGACATTTTTTGACAAAAACTGGATTTTTATCAATGTGGGATTTTTCAGGAACCTCGTAAAAGTTTAAAAGATACCATATTTTTTTCTATTTCTTGTCATATTTTCTTCCAAATTTTCATCTCTAAAACAAGTTTATGTCAAAATTGTTCAAATTGATTGAAAAAATGATGTTGATTTTTATTAGCAACACATTTTTTTGTCAAAAAAACGTACACATTTTGTTAGATATCTCAAAAAGTACTAAACCAATCTTCATGAAATTTTCAGTGAACATGGGGCATAGCATACCAAGTCATATTAATGTAAAAGAGTAACTTTCATATATGGCATATAGGCATTATTGCTGATTCTGTGAAAAAAAGTGAGCGCTCCTGAATACTGTAAAACTGCCCTTTTACAAGTCTTGGCCCATTGATATGAGCATTACAATATCCATGAATAAAAACACTCCCTGATGAGTAAGTGAAGTTTAAGTGTTTATGGGATAATTGCTGGCTGGTAAGTATACAGAAAATATATAAATACACTCATTTTTTCTACTTACTACTAAAATTCTCAATTGACCAATCACAATAGCCAGTATTTACTGCCACCAGTTGTCTCAGTGTCTGTATGTTGCTGTCTCCATGTTATAGATTATGGGCAGGATAAATTCCTTTGTCTATTTTTTGGATTCTTTGTTTGAACTTTTGTAATGATTTTATCTTAATATGCACACCTTAATCTAAATTGTGAATTAAAGATAACAGCAGAGTATTGTCCTTAAACTCTTGAATCCCAGGCTCTAAAATCAGTTGAAACCAGAGATTTTTTTCATTTTTGCCACCTTTTGACATTATACTACATACCTATACAGCTACAGATGCTCAACTTAGTAAAATTAGACGGCTGAGATCATTTCTACACATTTAAAAAAAAAGATTTGTAAATTGGATGAAAATTGTTCAAATAAGAGCATTTTTAGTGAAAAATTTTGTGACAGATTTTCTCGTCACTCTGGGTTTCAAGGTCATTTCTGAGGTGACAAGAAATCTCGTCACTCCAGGTAGTCAAGAGGAGGTGAGATTTTGACATGTACTTTATCATGGGAGAAGGGACTTGTACCATATATTCCCAGTAATCTAATTCTTTATTTGACCAGCTATTATTGCTCCAAGGGTGGGGAAGTTGAATCACTAGATTTCTCTCAGGATGTGAATTTGACAGCCAAATTATGTTTTTTTACAATACCCACCCCTTTCTGCATTAGGGATTCCCACGCAAACCTTTGTACTGTCCAATGACCCAAATGTTCCTCCATACAATTTTAGAATTTTAACTCCATATTTTACTTGTTCTATAGTCTATTTTCTGTATAGTTAATTAAAGGTACATTTTCCCTATTTCTTTTCAGCAATTCTGTACCATGGCTAGTGAAAACAGTCAACAATTCAGTAATTACCACATACCACCTGAGCATATGCAATCCAGTGGCATTCAAAAGTGGACCATGTCAAAGTGAAACAAGTGCTTGTAGAAGTGTTGGGGATACTTCAGAAAAGATCGGAACTTTTACAAATGATCTTAATATAACTGAAGATCATGAGAAAGGGGAATTCCAGCTCCATATGCATGGTGATGATTGCACTCATACACCTGGACAGAAGTTAAAGACAATTATAATATTCAAATGTGGGAAAACATTGGTAAGTGTAAATTCTTGGGAAAATGGAAGAATTGCTTATGATATGTTGTTATTCACTCACAGAGACCAAATCGTAAATAAAAATGATGTCAATTAATACGATCTTAAATTCTTGAAAAATGGCTGCTATTTACATGTACGACATGTGTCTGATTTTGTTGAAATTTTATATGTGCCTACAGAAAGATATAGAATTGGCAACCATAATAGTTCTATATAACAGACTATAATTAAGTGTAAAATTCTTGTTTCTTCAGGGTTCACCAGATTTCCTTGAATCATATGGCTGTGAAACATATTTTGAGTGGCATACTTCAGTAGCTTGCCTTGAGAAGCCCCCTGTGGAGAAGGAAGTCAGATGCTATGTATATGATACTAATGGAAAAAAGAGAGATTTAAATCCACTTATTAAAGATAGAGGGGGACACCTAATTGATTCATCTGGAGACAGAGACATCTATATAAACATTTGCAGAGATATAATTCCAGGTAAGAGCTTAGAGAAATAGCACTCTGGTATAAAATATGTCATCCTGGATATCAAAGGTATGAAGTTTTCATATTGTGATTGGAAATGAAACTTTTTAATTGAAAATTATAATTTTAATTGTCAATACATTGATACTTGATGTTTTCATCTGCAGTAAGTAATTCTGCATGTACTGTATTTTGGTTTGTGGATTTCTTCACTCTTGACTGCTATTCATAATCTTTAGATGGCCCAACTAGTACATGTTCCAAGGGGTCCAGTGGATGTATAATTCAGCATGGAACTGCTACTACCATTGGTAAACCAAAAGGACCCCTTACAATAACTGCTGATGGTAAGCTAAGATTGGAGTATAACATAGCAGAGGAGGACAAACCTGAACATTGCAGTCAGACACCAAGTACTGCCGTGACATTAGAATGCCCAAAGGAGGGTGGGGTAAGTGCACTTTACAGGGTCTCATTGCCATTATAGTCTTGCATCAAAAACTTGTGTACCTCCCCTCTTTATAAGGATACAAACCTGCTGATACAAACAAACAAACAAGCAAACAAACAAGCAAACAAACAAACCCGGCTTATAAAAACACACCAACATGGGGGAAATAGATAATAGAGGAGGGAGAGAGATCTATGAGAATTCTGTCAACAATGGGCATATTGTGCTTATAATTTTTCAGCCCTGTGTTATGATTCTGTACTGTAAAATAAGAAACACATGCCTTGGGATTGTACTTCTTTATACACACATCAGAGTTGTATCAAGCCCATGTGTCTCAAAAGCTCCTGTGTCTTTCAAGCCAATGTGTCCATGCTTATAGTAATACTATTCACATACCAAATATGAACAAAATCGCTCGAGTACTTTTCGAAACACATGGGCTTCATAGACATATCAGCTTTACCTTAAAAGAAACATCAGCTTGAGATACATGGTCACTGACACTTTGGTAGAAGGCGGCCATTTTGAAAATGGCCGCCATTTTAATGTATTTTACTATTACACGAAAAGTAGTGTAGCGAATTTGTTCATATTTGGTATGTGAACACTATAAAGCATGGCACACTGGCTAATAACACTTTGGTAGAAGGTGGCCATTTTGAAAAATGGCTGCCATTTTAACGTATTTTACTATAACTCGAAAAGTACTAAAAGTAGTGGAGCGATTTTGTTCATTTTGGTATGTGAACACTAAAAGCATGGTACACTGTCTAATGACACTTTTGGTAGAAGGTGGCCATTTTGAAAAATGACCGGCATTTTTGCTATATGCTTTGTTTTTAAAAATGCCAGCCATGGCTGTTCGATGGGATTTGGTACACTTTGGCGTTGCTATTGTCTAGTTATCATTATTTGATTCAAGACTAAAACAGCACACTATCTTTTACAGGGCAAGACCCCATTGCTGATCTCAGATCAAGACTGCCATTATGAGATAGTATGGGTGACAGAGTATGCCTGTCCGGTGGAAGAAATGACATCTAACACCTGTCAGCTGACCAGTCAGGAGAGAGGATTCAACATTGACCTTAGGCCTTTAACTAATCCAACTGGTATGTACAAGTTTTTTTAGGTTTTAACACTTGTGAATTTACATGAAGTAGAACGGTCTGATATCCCCCAATAGTTATTGATTTATATTCCAGATCATATGTATGAGTATTAGACCAACATTATTTATTTATTCATTTCATGCACATTTTAGTACCTCACGAAGCTATGGCGAATACTCAATTAGGACCTATGACATTTCATTGGCATGTTGAATGTTCTTTAATCTACATGTCATTGTACAGTATCATCAAATCATGAATGGAAACATTGAATGATTTCAAAACAGCCAAAATCAACAAAAAAAAAACTGATACAGAACACTACATTATAAAACTATATTATATTTTTACAACTTGCTAATAATACTCTTATGCTACTTTGTACAACTTTTCAGTGAATTTGGTTCATCAGTTGACGAGATAATACTTGTCAAAAAGTCGCTCATTTTTTGGGACACCCGATATATCAGACATCAAAACCAGTATAGTAAATGTTGATGCTTTGTGTATGATCTTAAAACTCGTAGAGCCTCAAAATCTGATCAACATGAATTACTGGATTAGTCAAATATATTGTTTTATGAGCCCAATTTCAAATTAGTTTTCAATGAATTTGATTATCTTTGTTTGCCGAAACTAAATATGTTTTATTTTTATGTACAACATGTATATGCACTATGCAGGTACTGACCATCCTACCAGAGTGGAGGTGAAAGAAAAGGATAAAACCTACACTTACTATCTGAATATTTGTGGAGAGCTGGGGATCGAGTGCCCAGATGATGAACATAAGAAAGATATTGCTGCTTGCCAGATGGATCTTAGTAACCCTTCTTGGGGCCATAGTTTGGGTTCAGTAAAACATCAACAGTTAAGGTGAGTTCTTTTGCCATAGTTTGGGTTCAGTAAAACATCAACAGCTTAGGTGAGTTCTTTTGCCATAGTTTGGATTCAGTAAAACATCAACAGTTAAGGTGAGTTCTTGGGCCATAGCTTGGGTTCGGAGAGACACCGACAGCTTAAATGAGTTCTTTGGTCATAGTTTGGCCTCAGAAAAACATCAACAACTTAGGTGAGTTCTTGGCCCATAGTTTTGGTTCAGTAAAACATCAACAGCTTAGGTGAGTTCTTGGCCCATAGTTTGGGTTCAGTAAAACATCAACAGCTTAGGTGAGTTTTTGGGCCATAGTTTGGGTTCAGTAAATTATCAACAGCTTAGGTGAGTTCTTTGGCCATAGTTTGGGTTCAATAAAACATCAACAGCTTAGGTGAGTTCTTTGGCCATAGTTTGGGTTCAGTAAAAAATCAACAGCTTAGGTGAGTTCTTTGGCCATAGTTTGGGTTCAGTAAAACATCAACAACTTAGAGGAGTTCTTAGGTCACAGTTTGGGTTCAGTAAAACATCAACAGCTTAGGTGAGTTCTTGGGCCATAGTTTGGGTTCAGTATAATATCAACAGCTTAAATGAGTTCTTGGGCCATAGTTTGGGTTCAGTAAAGTGTCAATAGGTTAGGTGAGTTTTTGGGCCATAGTTTTGGTTCAGTAAAGTGTCACAGGTTAGGTGAGTTCTTGGGCCATAGTTTGGGTATAGTAAAACATCAACAGCTGAGGTGAGTTTTTGGGCCATAGTTTGGGTTCAGTAAAATATCAACAATTTAGGTGAGTTATTTGGCCATAGTTTGGGTATAGTAAAACATCAACAGCTTAGGTGAGTTCTTGGGCCATAGTTTGGGTTTAGTAAAACATCAACAGGTTAGTTTGTGAATGAGTCTTCTATATTTTAGAACTGCCATTCTTCATTTGCTGTTAAAATATAAAGAGATTAGCATGAAATGTAGTATAAATAACACAGAAAGGTGTACTACTAGGACTCATGTTATAATCATGTAGATTGGATAAGAACAAGCAATTATATGTATATTTTCCAGATATTCAGATGGAGATATTTCTCTAACATATAAAGGCGGAGACAAATGTTCCAATCATTTTCAGCGTACTACCATCATACGTTTCCATTGCAATGAAACTGCAGGTAAATATTTAGTATATCTGTGGTATGTATTCGTTGATATAACACCTGCAATTTGGTCTATATTTCTTAATTATTATCGAAAGTCATGAAAAAACAGAAAGCAGTAGATGTGTCTATTATTCATCTAATAAAGGTGACAGCATCAACAAACAGAACTAGTAAAATCAACCTGTTTCTTTACACTCTACTTGTTTCTCTGCATGTGTATATTTCCATCTTTTTCTTGCAGGTAATGCTGGTAAAGGGTCACCTGTATTTGACTCTGAGAACAACTGTACCTATATATTTGACTGGGGTACTAAGAATGCTTGCTTAAAGCACACTCTTGCAACTACATGTAGTGTACAACACGGGAAGAAAAGATTTGACCTCTCCAGCCTTGTTAAAACTGAAAGTAATAATTATGTTGGTGAGTATATGTATGTCAATAACCTGCAAAGGGCTAATAAGCCCATATGAATCAGATAAAAGAGTGTTCAAGTAGAAGAGATAAATACAAGTTGAGAATAGTTTTTTTTAAAGTTTGCACCAACTTGTAACGTTCCAGTTTTGAAGATTGTTACAGTTTTACAATATTTTTTATGAAACATTGACGGCAAGTTTGGAATAATAGAGGATATGAAATTTACATTTTAGATTGGTATTTTAACTAATCATATCATCTGAATACTGTCAACTGGTTTCCTATAATCAAGCTGATGTTGTTATATTACAGGGGCCAACTGGGAGGCTTTAGATGGCCACCATGAACACATAGATTCGGATGAGGGACAATATTTCATCAATGTGTGTCATGGCATTCTACGTCAAGGTGATGCCCAGAATTGTCCTGAGGGTTCAGCTGTTTGCCTCAAAGGTAAATAGCTGATTTATACAGTAAAATTTATGTTACTGGAACACCTTTGGTTTCTCAAATTACTGTTCCTTTTGGGAGTTGTTCCACAAAGGTTCATTTTACATCGATTGAATCAATTAATTGATGATGGGACAGTTATGTAGATTTCCACTTACAGAGCTGTTTAACTTTATGGGTGTTACTCTTACAAGTTTTTCATTGTGAATTCCTTATTTTACAATACAGTGGGCTACACTCTTCTTAATTTGAACTTTGTATTATTGTTTATCAAGATCATTCTAGATAATGAATTTTAATTATTCTTCATTCCAATAGACTTGATGCAAGCAGAAATGGTCTTGATTTTCATAATGAATATTCAATATTTAGTCAAAGTGATATCATATTTGAAATCTACATATAAAATAGAGAACTGTGGTTTAAAAGATTGTATATGAATTTCGAAATCTTAGTTTTTTTGAAAATGTGATTCCGAGATCAGGTAGATTCCCCATAGAGACCATGTTATAAGATCACAAAAAGGGAAATATCTTTTCTTTGGACAGACAATATTTTTCTTTTATTGGACATATTTTCAATTTTACAATTGTCAGACTGAAAAGGTAATATGAAAATTGATCCAATATATCTAAAGAATATTATACCATGTTATTAGACCCAAATTAGACACCTGGTGGTGAAACTGGTAACTTAAACTGCTGGCGCCATGGTAATTAAATAAATGCCTCGCATAAGTTTTTTAATCAAATGTTTCTCAATAACATTTGGTATTTTGTATCCTCTAGCCCACGATGGGACCAAAAAGAACCTTGGTCAGTACCTTGACAGTCCCACCTATGATAATGTCACTAATACAATAAAACTGGTATACAAGGAGGGTGAAACATGTGACACGGGAAAGAAAATAGAAACTAGTATAACACTAGTGTGTCGTCCAGGTAATATATAATTTATTGGTATATAAAGAATAATTATTACATTAAATATATTTTTTTGCATTTTTAGATAACATGATCCATATTATTTTGCATTTGAGATGACTGTCTTATATTGTCAAAATATGCAAACTGCTAAACTGCTATTAGTTTCTTTGAAAGCAACTGGATTTATTTTGTAATACAGTGTATTTAAACATTGAGTCAAAATGCATTGTTATTTGGAACTTCGGAACATCGGAACTTTTGGATCAACCCTCGTATTTGTATATTTGTATATACATAAATATTTGATGATGATTTGTATTTGCTTATATGTATTTCCAAATGGTAAAAAATGCATTTCAGTACAGAGTTTTCAAATTTAATAAAAATGATTGACTTTGTTACCTAGGTGACTTAGAGGGTGCCCCAGTCCTGATTCGTAAATCACTGGATGAGTGTATGTATGAGTTTGAGTGGCACACAGCCGCAGCCTGTATGTCTGGGACTTGGACAGGGAAAGATTGTAAAGTCAACAATCCTGAAATGGGTAAGTTTTGTAATCTATACGAGGGGTGATCCAAAAGTCTTGGACGCCCTTCTCTATTTTTGTTGGTTTTTGATAAAATTACTTTAAACTTTCCAATATTAAAGACCAACAACCTAACTACTTTTTGTACTAATTTCATGGAGAAATGATATATTTTATATAGTTTTCTAGATAGTTTTTAATACAGGGACACTGCCACCCGGAACGGTATTCGCACATGGCAACTTTCAGCCTTAAATATTACCGCCATTTCACTTGTTTCGTAAGTCTTGACCACTATAATTTTTTGAATTTTGAATGTTAAACCACATTAGTTTACTTCCTTTGTTATGAAGCAACCAATTAATTGTGTTTTAATTATAATGTCACATATGACAATGGCCGTACATGTCAAATTCTAAGAAAATGCCATCAGACAAGCAACCCTCAATCTGTCATCATTTTTGCTGCAAGATGGCTGCTGAAATGCAGAACACGAAAGAAATCAAAGTGGAACAAAGAATACTACAAGATATTTTCACTATTATTGGCCTTGAGCAGCTACCATATGCACGATACAGTCTATCTATGGCTCTGTGTGATTTTCTTCTTTCTCCAAGTTGAAAGGAGGGTTGAAAGAAAATGTTTTTTACTCATTGAATGAAGTTTAGAGTAGCACTCCAGCAGCATTTGTATCACATAAGCAATGGCGGTTTCATAAATGTCTTCCATTCATCGGTAAAGTGGTTTGAAAAATGTGTTCAAATTCTTGGAAAATATGTTGAAAAGTAGGTCTTAATATGTGAAGATGATGATGGCAGATGACACTCAGATTGAAAATCGAAAATTCTCTCATATCATGGCTGGTGTTAGGTTGTGCACCTGCACCTAAAGTATTTGCCATATTATAACAGTTGTGACGTGATTTGCAATATTTAAATACCGTTCCGGGTGGCAGGGACCCGATATTAAAAGATATTTAAAAAAGTAGCTAGTATATATTATTTTCCGTTGAAACTTATACATAAAGTTGTTCAGATGTTGATCTTTATTATCTAAAAGTGTCATATAATTATATTAAAAAATAGCAAGGTTAGAGCGGGGCGTCCAAGACTTTTGGATCACCCCTCGTAAGTAGCCAAAAATTTGGATTTACATCTCAAAGAAACAACTGAATCATGGTTGGAAATTGGAGAAAAGCTTTTATAGTAATAAAAATATTAAAAAGTATTGAATCATTGTAGACAACAATTTCTTAAATTCACCCAAAAACTCCCTATTATGAAAATCACATATGTTTAAAACCCAACTTTAATTTTAGGTGTGAGTTTTGATCTGTCGAGATTGACAAAAGTTGGTGATCAGGCTTACTATAATGTAACCCGGGGCACAGAAAGTAGTGCACATCTCTACCTGATCAACGTATGTGGAGAGGTTAAAGGCACAGCATGTAATACAGCTGGCAAAATATCTGCAGCTGGATGTCAAGTTGAGAAAGCTGGACAAAAGTAATTACGAATTCCAATTTAGTCAAGTTTATTTAATAGAGGAGGGTTGAGTGACACATAACTTGGATAATCAAGGTTTCAGTTGGTCTGTATGTATTTTATTTTAGCTTCTTTGATGTTTTGATATTATAGAAAATCCCCTGTATCAGCTGTCAGTGGTGGTATTTAAAGTAATGGAGGACACTGTAATGCTTCATAAAGATCAAAATCTTTGACTTGTTCAATATAGAATTTTAATGCCTATATACATAACATACAGAGTGTTCTGTGTCTAAGTATAGTGCAGGGTACATCAGTTTTGGAGGAGTGAATTGAATGATCACATGATAACAAAAAAATTGTACTCCATGTCTTATTTCAGTCCTCCACACAGTACTGGCAAGTCCAGTTCCATTATTACATATCACGATGGCTTGCTCAATTTGACCTATATAGATGGCGATGACTACAAGTCAACACCACCTATTCCAAGGAGAACAGAAATCGCATTCCTGTGTGATGAAAAGGCTGGAAAAGGAGAGCCAGAATTCCTACACGAGGGAGAACACACATACAGTTTCAAGTAAATTAGTTAATTTTGTTAAGTGTTTTCATTATCTTATTATTTTTCCAAACTTCTTGTTTGTTGTTTTATGCTGTTTTGTGAAATGTTTTATATTAAAAAAACGCTTGTTGAGAGTGAGGTCAAGTCCCATGTGAATCTTGTTGCCTATACCCCCCCCCCCCTTCATTGTGATATTGAGCTATCAAGTTGCCAAGATGACGTTTGTCACATTCATGATGCATAACAAGCTTGATATTAATTCTGCAATTGTGCTAATTTGAAGTTATTATGTTACCATCAGAATTTGTGACATTTGTTATAGTCTTCAACTTTTTTTTCGATGGTATTCGGCGGTTGCCTATCAGCATCTGTAACAAATGGCGGGTGGTGACATTTTGCATGTTATTGCCTTGTTATTCTTGCCTACATCAGATGGACGAACTTCAATTGTTTTCTGTATATTAACTGTATATTGTAGGTTTACAGTATCAATAGTGACATTCTCCCGCTTAAAATGATTTATTTTCAATGATTTATTTGCAGGTGGCAAACAGCTTTAGCATGTCCAGGGGCCCCTGTAGAGTGTATTGTGACTGATGAAATCACACACAAACAGTATGACTTGTCTAGGTTAGTACATTGATAGTTTTTGTTTATTCAAAATTAAATTACCAAATAAAGAAATATAAATAACTATCATACAATGTTGCAGAAGTGAAATTGTCAATTTATTAGTCACAAACTGCTGAATATTAGGGAATTGTACAAGGTGACATAAAAAGAGGGTTCTATTTTTTGTATCACCCTGTTGATACTTATTTTATTGCAGTTTATCAATGTCTGAAGACCAAGAGAATTGGTCAGTTGTTGATGATGCAGACAAATCCAAGAAACGCAAGTTCTATCTTAACGTCTGTCGCCCTGTCAACCCAGTGCATATTGGGAAGGGGTGTGATGTCACGGCTGCCTCTTGTCTTACAACTGCTGAGGTACATGTAACAACAGTTGAATTAAAATTTTATTAACTTTTGTCTGACATAACAATTTGTCGGCACAACTACATGTAAGATGATCTGCTGTGGCTGTTTTGTTCTTTTCCCCTACTCGTATAATAAAAAAGGCCAATATCAGCAACTAAACTTTACTGTATATTTAGACCTATTCAGACCCTAATAATGTAACAGGCTCTACTTGAGGGTACAGTTTTCACAGTACGCATAAGTTAATCTTTCAATATTTTTTTCTTTTCAGGGATCTTCTGATTTCACAATTACAAATTCAAATCTTGGTCAGGCAACGTCAAGGCCATCTATAGTCAATGATGGGAACTTGATGTTGAAATACGATCATGGTGCAGATTGTACACTAATCAATGGTACAGTTGTACAAACCTCTATGACGATACATTTTGTTTGCAAAAAAGGATCGTTGGTAAGTAATCCATTTTATTACAGGTACATTTCCTACCAACCAGATGTTATGAGATAACTATCTAAACTAACTAATGAAAAAGTTGCATATTGCTGTGATTTTCTGTGTCTTGTCCAGTCAGTAATGCACATTTATGTTATGCCAGAATCTTAAGGGACCGACTTATTTCCAAAAATCAGCATAAAATACTTCAAAACACTTCTATTACTATAAACAAAGTCAAAATTTTCTGAAGATTTCTACTACGCATGCGCAAACTACAATGAATGAAAAACAAAATCTGAATGTATAGGGGGGCTTAGTCCCGGGAGCACAAAATTAGAGGGAGGAGATTCAAAAGTTTAATGAATATGCCCCTTTATTAAGCCCCTTGCATGTGATTTTTTTATGTCAACATCAATATTGTTATGGTCGCCAACCTTGTGAATTGTGTTTGGCATTTTGTGGTTGGTGTTCGATGGTCGGTATTTTGCATTTTAATGCCTTGTTTAAATGTGTTTTCAAGTTTTTCCGATTTAACCTCTGTTGAATACTCATTTGTTTATGCAGTCCACCGGGCCAAGGTACATCCAACAATTTGACAACTGTGAGTTTTCATTCATGTGGGAGACAGAAGCAGCATGTCCAATAGAAGATACAGAGACAAAGGTTGAAGAGCCTTGTACAGTGAAAGATAAGAATTCAGAGTACACGATCAATCTGCAACCACTGATGAAGAAAGGCTCAGATGTGTATTCTGTACCAAGTGAAGGTGGAAAAAGGGTCTTTAAGGTTTGTACAAAATAATTTTTAATAGCTGTCACAAATTATGAACTTTCTCCTCAGTGAAGATGGTAAGAGGGTATTTTAGGTTTATTCAAGATGTTCTTTAGGCATCAATCTTTTTGTCCAAGACTTATTATCTTATCTCTAAGCTAAAAAAGGAAATTAGTTTTGTAACATTAATAGCATGATGGATATACATAAATCACTGAACTTTTTATAGCCTAAAAGTTATTGTCTCAGTCCATACACAATGATTGGCAAAACCCACAAAAGATCAAAATGATTTAAAGTTGATCATAGCTAGCAGATTAAAGTCATGTATAAAAACCATTAGAAACTATTCCAAATTATTGGTTGTGTTTTTCAATGAAGTGTCTATTGCAGCTTAATGTATGTGGACCAATCAACATTGATGGCTGTGGAAAAATTGGAGAAAAGGCAACATCGGTTTGTGAAAAGAAACAAGATGGCTACCATCCAGTTACACAAGTTTCCGACAAACTAGAATTCTCAGATGATGGGCAGCTAACATTAACCTATGAAGGAAATGTAGATGCAATAAGTGGTATGTGCTTATTCATTTGCACAAACCCATTACTAGAAAGACGGCTTTGCATATGCATATTTTGATATTCCCAGTCCATGTTAAAGGTCTTTGACACAAATGTAAGAAATTGCTTACAGTACTTCAATCGATGTATAACATCCTTAAGTATCGTTTTTCTAACCATATCACGCAATCCAGAAGAATAAATCTATTGACGAAAAATGTTATCGAGTTGGTCATTTTAAGATGGCTTTTACAGGAAGTAAAATGGTCTTGCTAATGCGCATGCGTGTCAACTGGAAGTAAGCATTAGCGAGATCATTAAGGATGTTATACATAGATTGAAGTCATGTAAGTGTTGCCACGATTTCTTACATTTGTGTCAAAGACCTTTAACATGGACTTGGAATATCAAGATATGCAAAGCCATCTCTCTAAAAATGGGGTTTGTGCAAATAAAGTAAGTACATGCAGTCAACTCTAAAATGTGGAATTCTTCATTCCTTTTGTGCAAAAAACTATTTCACTTAGATTTCAAAAATGGTTGTTTAAATTGGATGTACTTGAACACAGATGAAAATATTCAAAGTTGACAGTTGAGTTGACAGATAAATTAATTTATAATAAAACTTTGAATTCTTTTCAGTTTATGGATTATTTAACTAGATTCTATTGTTATTTCAGGAAAAAAGAAACAAGTCAGAATAACATTTTTGTGTCGTCGTGACATTCCACTTGGGGAGCCAACATTCATAAGAGAGGAAAGTAATCTGCTTGTGTTTAATTTCGAGACTGCCCTCGCCTGTCACCCAGAGCCTATTGACTGTTTTGTGTCTGATGAGAAGGGACAGCAGTATGATTTGACCCCTCTCGGGAGAATCGATACAAACTGGCTGGTTGTCGACACACGTCAAGATCATAAAGATTTGAAATATTATATCAATGTATGCCGCCCAATCAATCCAATAGATAATGCAACATGCCCAGGTAAATGTGATATTCTTTGTTTTTGGGGTTGAATAAGGTAACCGCTGTGTATCCAGGATTTGATAAATATGAGACAAGCCGTTACTATCGTACATGTTTTCGGCAGTTTGTCCGTTTACATTATTATAATTTTTATTAGTTATTAGATTAAATGAAATAGAAATTATTTAGTAATAAAGTACAATGACCTCCATAAAAAACAGCTTCAAGTGCAGCACATAATGAAGTAATTTTTAAGAATTATTTTGTTTATTGAAAAAATCATTGATTATAATTTTGACTGGATCCCAAAAGATATTACTTTTTCCAAAACATTTTTCTTAAAAACATTTTCCTTAAAATCATGAAATATTCATTTTCACCTAAAGGAATCAATTTTGTTAAACAAACGAATGCATTTGGACATGTCATCTCATCAAAAATGAAGCAATCGTCTCAAAGAGAGGTTATCAAAATCTGATTAAGTTTGGTGCATGCTCGGTAAATTACATGGCAGCCATTTTGCTTTTTAAAGTGCGATTTGTATCTGTCCTGTCTGTCTTGTTTTTTTTTGTTTTTTTTTATCATAACTTTATTTCCAAAAATCAAATAATAATGATACATACATATGAGCAGCTTTGTTAAAAAACATTATAAGCCACTTTGAAAAAAGAAAATGACAAGGGCTTAAGTGATCTGATAAAAACACTATAGTGGGTCACTAGTCTGCCTGGGGTCCCTCAACACAGTTACTGATAAACATTGCACTTAACCTCAAAACATTAATATTTGTCTGTCTTGTTTATCTAGGAGGACCTATAGGAGGGTGCCAGACCTCAAATGGAGGCCAGTCATACAATATGGGTTACATCCAAGGCAAGCCAGCAGCTGCAAGTGATGGTTCACTGAGTATACGGTATATGGGAGGATCAGTGTGTCATTCTAAAGATCCAGCTCACAAAGGTCATCGCAGCACAAGGATTAACTTCTATTGCTCTGAAAATGAAGTAAGACATTAACTCAAGATTTAGAATGGTAGTCATGGAATTTTGAATTGCAATGGCTATCAGGGGAATTTTGAATTGCAATGGCTATCATGGGAGTTTAGAATTGCAATGGCTATCGTGGGAATTTAGAATTGCAATGGCTATTATTGGAATTTTGAATTGCAATGGCTATCATTGGAATTTAGAATTGCAATGGCTATCATGGGAATTTAGAATTGCATTGGTAATCATGTGAATTTAGAATTGCAATGGCAATCATTAGAATTTTGAACTGCATTGGTTATCATGGGAATTTATAATTGCAATGGTGCAATCATTAGAATTTAAAATTGCATTGGCAATTATTGGAATTTAGAATTGCATTGGTTGACATTGCAATTGAGTCATAAATCAACATGTAACACATAACCTGGAAAAATCATGACATGGCCAACACGAATCTCTTGTTCTTACGAGTGATAAGAGTTCAGAAAATTATTCATGATTTGTGGTTTTGAATTTTCTTCATATCATTTGTTGTAATTCCTACTTGTAATATATTTTCCAGCAAGACCCTTCATTTGAAGAAGAGACACCTGGTTGTGAGTATGTGTTCAACTGGCGCACCCCAACTGCCTGCCCCTTGAAGGTAAATATATACCCACCTATACTTTATGGAGTCTTAAATACTATGTAAGAACTGAGTCTGTGCCTATTGGGAAAATTATTGATGTCAATATCAGTTATTGATCTCTACTCAGGCCCATAGCCAGGGGGGTTCGAGTGAAAATTCTTTCAAAATCATGTCGTTGTTCACTGTTTTGAACACTTTTCAAGTGATACTGGCCATTTTTAGGCCAATGTTGTAAAAAGTGACCCCCCTGGAATTTTTCAAAAAATGAACCACCCCCTTGGCAAATCCTGGCTACGGGCCTGCTACTTCATTGTGGAACATCAATGCCTTATTCCATTTATAAAAACAGACAGATATGTGCTCTTTTGTAAATATGTTACATGTATTTATAAACAATATTATATATTTTGCTCATTAGACAATGATTAATTGATGGTATGATATATAAACTGAAATATACCGATCACATTTATGTTATTCTGTTCCAGAGAGTGATTGGCCAGGATTGCAAGGTCACAGATCCTCTATACAACTATGAGTTCAACCTTGGCCATTTAAAGAAAATGGCTGGAAATTATGAGTCTAAAACTGACGATTATAAGTTCTTGTTGAATGTATGTGGTCCAATTAATGATGGCACTGGGAGTTGCGCTGGAGTGGGAAGTTGTCAGACAAAACAATCTGACGATAGCTTTATGGTAGATGCAGGTATGTAATTGCAATTATTATACAACATTACAATTATTACATTATCATTAACTCTACATTGTATTTGATGTATGTGTGTTTTAAAAAGATGTAATTTGGTTCTCTTGAATCACTACAAAATTTCATATAAAGGGTGATGCATGTATAATGTGTAATCCCAATGAACAAGTTCATTTTTATGTGTTTATTTTCATTCACAACTAACATGGACACATTTTGTCAAAAATTCAGCTAGATTGAAAAGAAAACCACTAAAATACAGCATCATTCCTGAAACATATGGAACACCCTGTATTTAATATCCAAGTGGTAGGGGTGAGACAACAACCTGATGAGTCGAGTACCCGCGGGTTCTTGGCTTCGGGTCGAGTCAAATCAATTCCAAAGTTGATGAATCAAATCAAATTTGGGTTAAAAAGTTTAGAAAAATCTCCAAGTTTAACCTTATAAATCAAGCGTACAACTTAAACTTATAATATAGAGTGTTACATACCTTACATGGTAACAGTATACATGTATTTGGCATTTTGGGATATGTCACACTCCAAAGGTTCATATTCATTTAATATTAACCTTTACAACTTTGATACAAGATATGAATGATCAGAAAATTGTTGATATCATCAAAGGACTCGATATTTTATTTCAGGAAAGTCCAACCAAGCCCTGATTTATGATGATGGAGAGATAACATTGAAGTATGACAATGGAAAAGGATGCCATTCCAACAAGTTTAACAGGACGACAATTCTTACATTTACTTGCGACAATTCCAAGTTTGGTGCAGCAAATGGTCCAACATTTTTGGAAGAAAGGGACGACTGTACCTACATGTTTGAGTGGCCCACTGCATTGGTTTGTTGCTATTTTTACTTTTTTATTGTACCTAAGAAATGTATGATATTGTCTTCAGCTTGTCAGATGGGTGATGGGGTCTCATTTTTCTGTCTGTCTGATTTTTATGTCACCACCAAAAGTGGTGACATATTGTTATGGTCTCCGTTTTTTTGCGACGGCGGTTGGTGGTTGGCGGTTGGTGGTTGGAGGTTGGCGTCCGGCGTCCGGCGTCTGTAACAATTTCTTACAACTTCCTATAACTTAACAAATACTGTTTAGACTGACTTAAATTTTTTTCTAAATCATCTACATGTTCTCAGAAGTTCAAATCTGACTTTAGATTTGACATTTGACCTTCAATGACCTTCTCAAGGTCAAAAAGGTCTTTTTTCAACTTGCTTCACATTGACTAAATCTTTTTTCAAAATCATCTACATGTTCTCAGAAATTCAAATCTGACTTTAGATTTGACTTTAGATTTGACATTTGACCTTCAAATCCAAAAGTGGTGACATATTGTTATGGTCTCTGTTTTTTTGCGACGGCGGTTGGTGGTTGGCGGTTGGTGGTTGGAGGTTGGCGTCCGGCGTCCGGCGTCTGTAACAATTTCTTACAACTTCCTATAACTTAACAAATACTGTTTAGACTGACTTAAATTTTTTTCTAAATCATCTACATGTTCTCAGAAGTTCAAATCTGACTTTAGATTTGACATTTGACCTTCAATGACCTTCTCAAGGTCAAAAAGGTCTTTTTTCAACTTGCTTCACATTGACTAAATCTTTTTTCAAAATCATCTACATGTTCTCAGAAATTCAAATCTGACTTTAGATTTGACTTTAGATTTGACATTTGACCTTCAAATCTGACTTTAGATTTGACATTTGACCTTCAATGACCTTCTCAAGGTAAAAAAAGGTCAAAAAGGTCTGTTTTTGAACTTGCTTCAAATTGACTAAATTTTTTTTTCAAAATCATCTACGTGTTCTCAGAAATTCAAATCTGACTTAAGATTTGACATTTGACCTTCTCAAGGTCAAAAAAGGTCAAAAAGGTCTGTTTTCAACTTGCTTCAAATTGACTAAAAGATTTTTTCAAAATCATCTATGTGTTCTCAGAAATTCAAATCTGACTTTAGATTTGACATTTGACCTTCAATGACCTTCTCAAAGTCAAAAAAGGTCAAAAAGGTCTTTTTTCAACTTGCTTCAAATTGACTAAATTTTTTTTTCAAAATCATCTACATGTTCTCAGAAATTCAAATCTGACTTTAGATTTGACATTTGACCTTCAATGACCTTCTCAAAGTCAAAAAAGGTCAAAAAGGTCTTTTTTCAACTTGCTTCAAATTGACTAAATTCTTTTTTCAAAATCATCTACATGTTTTCAGAAATTCAAATCTGACTTTAGATTTGACATTTGACCTTCAATGACCTTCTCAATGTCAAAAAGGGTCAAAAAGGTATTTTTTCATCTTGCTTCAAATTGACTAAATTGTTTTTTTCAGAATCATCTACATGTTCTCAGAAATTCAAATATGACTTAAGATTTGACATTCGACCTTCAATGACCTTCTCAAGGTCAAAAAAGGTCAAAAAGGTCTTTTTCAACTTGCTTCAAATTGACTAATTTTTTTTTTCAAAATCATCTACATGTTCTCAGAAATTCAAATCTGACTTTAGATTTGACATTTGACCTTTAATGACCTTCTCAAGGTCAAAAAAGGTCAAAAAGGTCTGTTTTCAACTTGCTTCAAATTAACCAAATTTTTTTTTCAAAATCACCTACATCTTTTCAAAAGTTCAAATTTGACTTTATAAGTTCTCAGAAGTTCAAATCTGACTTTAGATTTGACCTTTGACCTTCAATGACCTTCTCAAGGTCAAAAGGTATTTTCCAACTTGCTTTAAATTGACCAAATTGTTTTAGGTGGTGACATTTTGTCATGTTATTTGATATTTGCAATTGCAAACATGTTTAAGAATTATGTATTACTTATATAATGGGCTGGACCACAATGTCACTTTTGACAGTTCATGGTATGTTTTCTTGAAAAATAATGATAATGAGTTTGTAGATATTTTCAAATTGAGTTTGTAGCCTTTGCATTCTGTATTTCATGTTAAATCATTAAGTAGCCTTTCTTTTCAATGTTTTATTGAATTTTGAAGAGTGTTTAGATGTGTTTTATATAATATTGTGTGGTACAGTGGTGTCAGAGTGTTATACTGGTTATGTACCACAAGGCATGAAAATACACATCAGGATAAACTAATATCACATGGGCCAACCAGATCTCTCAAAATTTAACTCTCATTATAAACTCATGTACTATTGAACCCTGTATCATTGCATTTGTATTTAACCTACAGGTTTGCCCTCCTTTCAAACTGGGCGAATGCAGCACTAGGGATGATAAAGGGAATGAGTATGACCTCAGCCTGTTGATTCTTACAAATGACAACTATGAGGTTGATGAAATCCAGACAACACCTAGAATGAAGTTTGTACTGAATGTGTGTACTAGTGTCATTCATAAAAAAGGTAATCAATAAAATGGATTTTTTGCAGAATGTAAAGGATTGCTCAATGACTTTTGAATCACATGGTGAGCCTATGGAGTCAACCACATCTATATTATATATTATAATTATATATAATTTCACCCAGCGTCAGATTTAATTGTTATATAAGATGAGATGTTGGTGAAATTTAAATGATCACAGGTTTTACATATTTGATAATAATAATACACCTTAAATGTAAAATAAATTTTTGAATTTCTTATTTGGCTCCAGGTATTACCTGCCCACACAATGCAGCAGCTTGTATGGTAAACCTAGATGAAAAAGATCCAAAGAAAAAGTAAGTCATTATGTATCTTATTCCTATACATTTATTTGGGAGACTTTTAACATTTTTTCCCCATTTTTGCACTTTGAATACTTAAATACACTTGAGCACTTTAAAAATACTTCACCAATTTATAACATACACTGTATCATGGATCTTTTGTGAGATATTATATTTCAGATTGTAAGGCATAAATTGCTAACAGTTTTGTAATCCCCTAAGATCTTATTCTGCTTTTAATATCATGTAAGCTTAAAAAGTGTCAGTTTGGGTTTTGCTATACCCTAAAAAGATGATCGTTTTTGAAAAATTTCAACTTTTTTTGAAAAATGGCAGGAAATTTGAATATTTGAGAAATGAAAAGCTGACAACCTTAAAAATCTCTAAAATAACTTTTTAAAGTCTTGACAAATTTTAAATAAATGATAAAAATGTATTTTCAAACTTTACATGGGGACTATAAGTGAAAATATTTAAAGTCATGCATGCAGCCAAAATGCATTCTGCAACATTCTATATACAACCAATTTTCCATGGTAGGTATCACAACATTGGAGAGTTGAACAGCCATCCTCTGAAATTAGACAATGGTGGTAACCTGTTGCTGACATATACCAACGGTGAAGACTGTACAACAGGAGACTCTACCAAGAAAACTGAGACCGTCATACATCTACACTGCGACATTGAACAGATAGTGAGTGGAATGTATATATGCTTATGGGAAAAGAAACATGCTTATCTTGTCAATACACAAGGCAATTATTACACTGTACAATACACATTAGCTAAAAATATCATAAAATTGCAATTTTTTGCTGTGTAACTTGATAGGCCAACTCTAACATGCCATCTAGATATACCATTTATTTTGCCATGTATTTTTTAATTGCAGAGTTCCCAACCCCAATACTCCTACAAAGAGAATTGTCAATATCATTTCACATGGTTCAGTAAGGTGGCGTGTCCTTTGAAGTCAACAGATACTTCCACTAAGCCTAAAGGAGATTGTACTGCTAAAAATCCTGAAACAGGTCAGTTATTTTATTGCACCATAGCCTTACACAGGCAGAATAGGGTAATCAACCATGGTCCGTACTTTGCCTTATGATATCTTAAGAACTGTATGTCAGATTGTGCTCATATATTTTTTGACTCATTTTCTTGTATTCTTTAAAATATGATTTTAAGGATTCAAATTTGAGTTGCTCATTTTATTTATATAATAACATTGAAATATATTTTGAAGCCATGGGACTTTCCATTGATATATCATTTCACCTGTTTCTATTTCAGGATATACATTTGACCTCAATAGACTGCATACAACTGATGGATATGAGGTGTCCCATAAGGATGAACATAAGATCAAGTTTAATGTGTGTGGGCCCATTGACAATTCTGCATGTGGAGAAAACACTGGTAAGCAACAAGTTCAGCGTCTGTAACAAATGGCAGGTGGTGACATTTTGTTTGTTAATGCTTACCCAGGAAATACATCAAAATTTGTGGTCTGAATAACAACCAAGTTTCTTCTATTAAATGATAGCATGCTTTAACCCCTCCCCCTCCTAAATATCTAGTCAATGTGTATATTTCTGCAAATATGGCATCAATTTTTCTTATCCTACTTAAAGGAGCTTGTCAGGAGGAAACAAAAGCGGGTGGTAAACATTGGAAAGCAGGGGAAGCAAACTCAGATCTTCGCTACAATGAAGGCGTTCTAACACTCTCATACAAAAACGGCGAAATATGCCATCACAATAACCAATCAAGGACTACGATAATTAACTTTGTGTGTGGTTCAGAAGGTTCTGGAACAGGACGTCCTCAGTTCGTGGATGAGACAGACGACTGCACATATTTCATTTCATGGCACACGGAGCTGGCTTGCGAAAAAAGGGTAAGATTTTTTTGTCATATCATCAATGAGAATTAACTTAACTTGATGGTTTGATTTAGGATTATATGTGCTATCATCTTTTGAAGTCTCTCTAGTCTAGTGAAATACGATTTATTTGAACATTTTCCCCAGCCAATAGAAATTAATGAAATCTGGAAATACAAGTTATGAGTGTTTCTTTTGACATAGTTTGAGCCTTTTCAAAATGCCTGCATCCGCAGCTGTCCAGATAAGGGTACTTTGAACTTGAATTATATGTACATGTATGATCAAACATATCATATGAGTGAGCTGAAGTGATAAAAGATGATGGTTTTAAGTAGTCAACATGTTAATTTGAACATGAAACTTGGCATTCCCTTTGAGATGCCAATCATTTTTACCCCTCTCGCAGTGAGCAAAGACTGAACCAGAACCATAATGTCAGACTTTCCATAAGCAAAATATTGCAAAATATGCTGCCTCATCACTAAGTTACAATGTAATTTATAACTTAGCATGGGATGCCTTTACTGGCAATTGGCAAGCTCTTCTGTATTATAATTGCTTATTGAAAAAGAAAATATTGATAACTAAAACAGCTATATAATCTAAGACAGAATTTTCCTACAATGGGTATGATCACTTTGTTTCAGATATCTGTAGTACGTAAAACCAATAACTTTATCATGTTTAAGTTTTAACATGATAAAGGAATTTTCAGACATTTGTTTTATTGGTATTGCATATTTAAACAGCTAAATGATTTTTGATGGAACAGCAAATACAGCATGTACAAAGAGCAAACATAATTCATAGAACATATGGTATTTACCATTCAATCAAGTATGCAATGCTTTAACATATCTTTTAAAGACTTATTGTTTAAATAGCTAATTGACTATTGATTCCATGTAATGTAACACATTTTTGGTTTTTATTATGTCACCACCAAAAAGTGGTGACATATTCTTATGGTCTCCATTTTCTTATTGTTATTGACATTGTTATGGTCTCTGTTTTTTTGTGGCGGTGATCAGCGGTTGGCAATCGGGGGTTGGTGGTCATCTGTAACAATTTCTGAAAACTTCCAATAACT